CACTTTTATCAAAAAATCGCAAAATTATCACTTTTATCAAAAGATCTGAGGATTCTCACTTTTTTTCAGGAAAATCTCAGATTTTTGACTTTTATCAAAAAATCTCTAAATTCTCTATTATCCAAAAATCTCTAAATTCTCCCTTTTTAAAGAAAATCAAAATTCTCCCTTTTTCTGAAAATCTCAAGAATTCTCATTTTTTTTAAAGGGAAAATCTCATTTTTTTCTTTTTTTAATATAATCTCAGAATTCTGACTTTTATCAAAGAATCGCAAAATTCTCAACTTTTTTCTGAAATCGCAAAATTCGGACTTAATTTTTAAATAGAAAAAAGCTTATTTTTGATGACGTTGTGTAAACAGCCCATGTTGTGATTGTGTTTATTTTGTGTTAATATTGTGCCCTTGTGCCCTTGCTGTGTCTCAGGCTCTGGGAGCTGAAGAGGCCACGCTGTTCTCTGAGAGTGAAGCTTTAACAGAAAGTGATTCTGAGCTCACGTCCGACGGATTTCTCTCTGATAACAACCACTGCAAGGACCCCCAAATCCACTCTGAAGGTGAGAGGAATTCGTATAATCCAGATAATAAATACGCATCTAATTTGATAACTGTACCACGCTGGTATAGTAATTATTCATTTGATGTATATGTTATGCAAAAGTGTTTGAGATCTGGAAATGCTAAAAGAATTTCTGAAATTCTCAGAATTATATATTTTTCCTGAAAATCTCGGAAAATCTATTTTTCCCCATAAAATCTCGGAATTCTCACTTTTTTCATAAAATCTCAGAATTAGAATGTTTTTTCTGAAAATCTCCAAATTATAATTTTTGGGGAATTTCGCAAAATTCTCACTTTTTCCCAGAAAATTCTCACTTTGGAAAATCTTTTTCTCGAGAAATCTCATTTTTTGGGGAAAATCTCAAAATTCTCTTTTTTGGGGGAAAATCTCATAATTCTTTTTCCCCTAACATTTTAGAATTCAGAATTTTTTTCAGAAAAACTTGAAATTCTAACTTTTTCCTGAAATCTCAAAATTACGACACTTTTCCTGAAAATCACTGAATTTTTACTTTCCATGAAAAATCTCAAAATTAAAACATTATTTTTTTTGAGTCTGAAAAAAAATCCCAAACGGCCCATATGTTAATCACACTCCTCTCTTTCTCTAGCAATGAATGGTCTCAAAGTAAAGCATTGTGAAGTCCGCCTCACAAAGATAAACGGTAGGTAGCATCAGGTTCAGGATGTCCATCATATTTCTGAAGATTTCAACGTTCAAACTTACTTTATATTTTCTTCAACAGACGATGAGAATGGAGACGATGGCAAAGAGGTAATAACTGTTATTATTTGAACATGAAAACTGTCAGCTTTTAGTACATTGCTTTCCCGTACATTTACCACTTTCATCTCAGAATTCTCTAGTTTGTTGCTCGTAAATTTGTAAATGTTGTACAGTTTATTTACCACTTTAATCTAAGACAATTTTCAAGTTATTTTTCGTGTACATTTCTACATTTATTACACTAGATTTATCACATTAATCTCAGAACATTTTCTATTTCTTCTATACTTTTTAAAAAACCTACAATCAATATACTTTTCTCAGCCTTACACTCAACTAGTAAACAAAGACCAGAACTACTCAGAAAAAGTATTGTTTCTCCTGCATCATATTTGTTGTTTCAATTCTCATCTACTGACATACTTTTCCCTTTACTAACCTCATTATTTTCATCGATACGGCCATCATAACCACTTGCATGATAAGGTTTTCCCTTTATGACGGTGTGTTGTGATGATATTTGAGTGTGTAATGGGAGTGTGTTGTCTCTCAGATGCCCACTAGGGGAAGTTTTGGCTGGGAGAGCAGCTTGCGGCAGAAACCTCAGGCCCGCGCAGTGTTTCAGGCGGGTGTTAGCTCCTGGTCCGCCCCCCAACCTGTTGATCAGGACAGCAGAAAGGGTCTGGAGTCCCAGGAAGAGGGGGTAGGTGTACTCAAGTATACTACCAGAATACCCTTGGGCCATGACTGATGTATCTGACCTCTGAAAATAACTAGCTAAAAGACAAATATTAGTGAGCTCCTTGCACAACACATATCTGATAGCGTAATAGAGCCCTGCAGTTATGATGTTTTTCTGTTCTCCCTTGAGCCCATGGGATTTCTCCATGTGATTTGATTTATTAAAGAAAATAATCTCTGTGGCAAACACACATTTATGATACAGACATGTTTTGTTTAGCAGGATAATCTCCACATAGTATTTACACCACTTTATGATTTCTGAAGTAAAAAGATAACTCCAACATTTAAAAATCTATTTAGAGAATTTAAATTAAAACTACAGGGAAATAGATTCGACTGTTTAGTTTTTTTCTGAAATCTCAGAATTCTGACTTTTTACTTAAAAACTAAAAAATCTGACTTTTTTCAGAAAATCCCAAAATGCTCACTTTTTCGGAAATTCTCACCTTATTTTTCAAAAAATCTCAGAATTCTCAAAAAATCCTATTTTTTTTTTTCAGAAAGTA